CAATGTAGGCCTGCACCACCGTGCAAACATTGAGAACTACAATGTCAGTCAATTGTTGTTTTCATGTCCTCGCAATGTTTGTGTGAAGATTTCGTGAGAGAAGATTTGGACTGAGAGGAGACAGCCAAGAAGGAAACAAGTAGAAAATCAACGCCGCTGGATCGAGTATAATATAAACAGCTATTCCTCGAGAAGTAAGTCATAAACAGTTTCTATAGAATCATCTCTGAACAACGATTACAATGGTGGTCGTCACTGCATGGTATCGGTACGTGAATTCGAAATAGTTTAATTTAAAGCAATTTGTTATTTAGCCGGAACATCTGATAGTCACGAAGTAAGCTGCAAAAATATAATTTTAGTATTAGAGGAAGCGGCTTCAAATACCCAGCCCAAATTACCCTTCGTCAAACAGTACCACCTAGAGTAAGAGTGATCCGGATTTAGCTCGAGACAATCAAAATTCTCATGCTACCATTAGGTATTACAAACAAGCTCTGCTATGCACGTACTAGTGGACAGGGACGGGAATATTTGAAGTAATATATCAAACATGAGATGCAGTGTTTCATCACCAGATGAAACACCGAGAAGAGAGTTGAAAATACGACGCGCAGCGGAGTATTTTTGACGAACTTCGAGGTGTTTCATCTGGTGATGATCGAATGTTTGATATTTCTTCTCAAACAAAATCATTTTTGAAGGAGAAATTAAGGATGCAAATACTAAGCAGTGTTTCATCCGATTTCCAAACACTCATTAAACATTAATTTCCTTTGTATTTTCTTAATGGATTATTAATGAGTTTGAGAAGGTAAATTGACACAACTTCCACGAATGTCGCTATAAAGATGTAATAATCGAGAAAATGTTTTCTATTTTAACTGAAAGAAATGGCATTTCAAAACCCGAAGCACTGATCCACATTTTTAACCTGTGTTGTTTGCACATTTTCTGCTTTGCGTGACCCGTTTCTACCACAAGAGCAAAGAATCGAAGTTTTAAAGTTTTGTTACTGATCCTTCATTAGAATTTCGAGCTGAAATGATTCAATTTCACGACCAGGACGGATCTGTGGAGCTCAAAGTCGGAAATTTGTCAAGAATCAAATGGGGCCGAAATGAAGGACAAGTTTCGAAGTTTGAAATTAACTTTCCCTCTATCTACTCAAAGGCTCCTTCCGCGTGGTACTGACAAAAAAATAAAAGTCTTAAATACTTGCCTGAAAAATTTAACTTGGCGATGGATTTTTGAAGCTGAAATCATGCAGTCAATAAGAGAAATGTATGAAATAAGGACAATTGGACGCGTTCAAGTTTAGTATTAGTACAAAACTCCCTCCATCTAAGTGAGACTTTCAAGACACTAAAAGGCAATTTGACTGACTTGTTCCGTTTTTTATTAAATAATCAAACATTGATCATGATCATGTTAACTAATATCCACATTTGGATTTGTCTTGTCTTTAAAAAAAGCCAAGGCTCACCGTTGAATGCAGTGCTGTAGTCACTTTCAAAACATGATTCATAAACAGAGTAGATACCAGGAGTAGTGATACTAATATAGACAGCGTAGATTTGATGATATTAAACAATTCAAATGTTAAATCTGCGAACAAAGCCGCTTAAATTTGACTGAACACAAGAAAGAGAAAGACAAGTGACATTTCTGTTTGTTAAGAGGATGAGCTTCATTTACAAATGCGTCATTAATGAGCAATAAGCTAATTTTTTTCGAAATACTAAGGTTATTTCAAACAAGGCAAATTGCCTTTAAATTAAGAGTTTTGTTTTAAAAGAGCGTTATAGATTTCTCGATAGTTTGGGTTAGAAGCCGCGCGTGTTCAGACATTTTCTTTTCTTCCCTGTTCTGTGTGAACTATAAACCTTGGAGGGAGGTTTAGACTATGATAAAATTTCTGCCAGTAACCGTTTTGCTGCTGTGACCTCACGTTCTCGTTGAAAAATTAGTTGTAGAGAGGATAAATAATATTTTTTGTTGATTTTGGCAAAAACGATTCCGAACTGTCGGTCATGCTTGCAACAGAAACTTATTCGAATTCAGCGATAAACAATCATGCGTCAAAAGGACTCCTCTAGGTAAGTAAAACTATCCATATTTGGTTCATTTTCGTTTACTATCGTAAACGCGTAAGATAACATTCGCGTTCTATCTAAAGTAGCATTAATGCCAACATGCGCTTTTGATTCAACAATTTTTCCTATTATTCAATCTATTTGAAACACACTCAACTACAAGACAAATTTGACTTATATTGAATTATTTTTACATCATTGCCTAATCGAAATAATTTGAAAAAAAAAATTAAATCATTTGTCAAGCAAAATAATTTGATATATCGATTTGCCTGTTGTTGTTTTTTAAAATGCTCATTTAATTGACAACATGATGAGGAAGGCGGACGCAGAGATTTCTACCATGTACGCGAGTCTAATAACTGAACTAGAATCACTGCTACTTAACAGTTCACGAAGGAAAACCTAGTATTTCTCAATCCGAACTCTCACTATTCGTTCCTCAGTAAACCTACTTGAAATTAGTATAAGTGCTACATATCTTTATCCAAGAACTAAAGGCATATACTAAAACTGGACCAGCTAGAAACTGTTAAGTTAATACCGGTCTTTCTCGACCGTTACTGATTCTTTTTTTATGAAAAAAAAAACATCAACCTATATTCGGAACGATTGGAAATTAAAGTGGCCATGAAAAGAAGCTCTTAGTAACTTACTTCTTCCAATTTCTCTTCTTTTTAATTCTTTCTTTTTTTTTTTTTTTTTTTTTTTTTTTTTT